GTAGAATCTGCAAAACACCGCATAATGTGGATGAACTTGGAGGACATTATGCTGAGTGAAATAAATCAATCACAAAAGGACAATTATTACATTAGTCTGTTATTGTAAAAGTGAAGGAAAGGTTTATCTATAGATGGAAATTTTCTTTGTTGGTTACCAAGGGTGGGAGGGGAGGGAAGGAACACTGTTAGATAGAGATAAGTACTGATTTGGGGGAAGAGAAACACAATGTACCAAATGTGAGTGATCAATATGGTGGCATTGAGGAAGAGAAAGACATAGAGAGGTACATGGGAGGTACAAACAAAAAAGATGAACCCTTTTGCACATACAGTACTGCGTTGTAGTGAAGTCAAACCCAAATCACAATTAAAAAAAAAAAAAAAGAAAAGAAATACCCATTCCATATAAACACTAACAACTACAAACTTTTAAATGCTAGATTAAAATAAAAGTTAACTTATTTTAGTAACCAGGATGATAAATATAATAGTGAGTTTGGGACTGAGGAATGCCAAAGCGAAAATGCAAAGCCATGCTTTCTGCTCCTTAAAACATGTGACACAGGCCAGAACTTTAGTTTAGTTTGGGATAACAGGAAATATTCTTGGGAAATAGCTACAATTAGCTGTTTATCTGCGAATTTACCTCCATTAGGCATTGATAGCACTAAATGACTATCAGCTGAGGCATCTACAGGTCGGCCATTCTGGGTCTCTGGGGCTTCTGTGGCCTGATAAGGCGGGGGTGGTGTGTCAACTAAAAGAAAGCAATAAAACAAAGGAATTGTCAAAATGATAAACCACAAAAAAACAAACAAACAAAAAAAAACACAGTGGGATCCAACCTCTTTTGCCCTTAACCTCTTAAGTCTGGTGGACAGGGTAACTGCTAAGAAAGAACATTAATGCAACAAAGTTATTCTGAAGTGACACTGCAAGTGTCCTACAGTACAAATTGTTCTGAGAGCCTCACTAAAGAGTTGATTTAGTTGTCCCTCTTACTGAGGAGTTGTGATTGAGCTCAAATTACCTCATGATAAGATTTCCCCATCTAGGAACTATTTGCCTAGCTTTTCTCAGTAGCAGAATAGTGTTATCTGGCTTTCAAAACACACAAAAAAGCTGAATCTCCTTTGAAGTGAGCTTAATTTTCAGCTCCATTCTTGCTGTCGATTAAACAAGGCCACTGAGTTGCTTTACCCTGAAATAGCTCAAGATATGTCCCAAAACACAGAAATACTGAAAGCTAATTATTATCTTCTACTCTTCTCTCAAATACAGATTTATGAGAGGATAGTGATCATTGGTAGACAGCATCTTACCAACAAAAAAAGAAAGAAGAAAGCAAACTCACTGTCATCGAGTTGAATCCAACTCATAGAGACACCCTTTGGATTTCTGAGGAATACACACATATCTTTACACACATAGATTGCCCAGTCATCTTTCTGTGGACTGGCAGGTGGGTTTGAACTGGCAACCTTCTGTTTACCAGTCAAATGCCTTAGGTACTATACCACCAGAGCTCCTTAGATAGTACCTTATAAAGATGTAATTCAAAAAACAACAGGAACTCGTGATGCAGAGACAAAACCCAATCAACGCTTCTTTTTGTGTGTGTGTGATTTGGGTGAAGATTTACAGAGCAAATTCACTTTCCATACAGCAGTTCACATATACTTTGTCTCATGTCATTGACCACAGTTTACCACAAT